GGCCACAAGGGAGATGGGGGGGGACAACCCGGAAGGCTGTGAACAGATGTTCGCGAGGGTATGTTGGGGCGAGGATAGGGCGAGTGCTTTCTGCTCTGGTCTTTCATACGTTTCTGTAACGTGGTCCTATCATTTTTGTCACAAACATAACACCCAATTCATTTAAAGAAGGAAAGTTGTCTGGATGCTAAATTGGAAATCCTGGCCAACTGTTTTCTCGTTCTGCAGTCACGTGAAGGCACAGCAGACGGGCAGGATGTGATTTTCACTGAGAGATGGCCACGGGAGGCAGGGCGAGCCCACCCCTGGTCCCGCTTCCCAAGGGCGGTGGAGGAGCCCCCGGGGCATCGCCCAGCACGGTCTCAGGGTGCCAGCCACGGCCGGGGAGGCCCTCACCCCTTGGCAAAGGTCTCCACTGCAGACACGTGCAGCCGCTCCCGCTGCGTCAGTGGCTGTGTTTTGGAGACCTCCACCATTGTCTTCACGGCCAGGTCCAACTCCCTGTCCAGCCTCACGGAGCTTCCGGTGCCGATCAGCACGAGGCCATTAGAGATGGCATGGCCCATCGCTGGCGAAAGGTTGGAAAGCAGCAGCTGGTGATTCAGGGCGTCCAGCTCGGCCCAGCCCGGCCCGGCCCCGCCCCGCCCTGCCCAGCCTCAAGTGGGGAATAAATACCCACATCCCTGGAGGGGCAGGCCAGGCGGCTGGTCGGCTGTGCGCCGGGCCCCCCCGCAACAGTGGGGAACCCAGACTGGGCCCTCGCCACTCACGAGGAGCGGAAGCAGCCCTAGAGACACGCTGTACCTCCGCAAATATTTTTCCAACAAGGGCATTCTGCCAACGTCTGGAGCATCTTCCTTCACTGGGTGAACTGGTCAGGGCTGCCTGCCGGCTCCCACGACCCCCCAGCCCTAATTTCCCTCATCGGCTGATATTGTCACTACCACCAACGCCGGGCCTCCAGGGGGCTGCTGAGGAGATGCTCCATGCAGCGGGGGCTGGTCCCTGGAGTACAGTCTGCTCAGCCACTCATGCGCGGAGAGCTTTTTGGGGGGTGGGGGAGGACAGGGGAGGGTATGCCTTGTGCCCTTGTAGCAACCTTGCTGGCAGGTCTGCAGACCCCCGGGTCCCCCTTGAGCTTCCTAGCCCCCAGCCTGACAGAGGCACGGGGTCCGCCGGCATTTGGAACTCAGTCACTGGCGAGGCCGGAGACCCAGGACCCAACCAGAGTGTTGGGACGACCCATGTGGCCCCCATTTCTATCCTGGGGCCCGAGGTCCGCTCAGAGAGCCGGAGCCCATTCCTGGCTCCTGGTCCCCCATAAGCTGGGCTCAGCTTCCTTCTTCCCCCATCCCGTGCGTCCTATCCTCAGCGGGAGCTGGCCACAGTGGCATGGAAAGGGACGGTGGTTACTACCCTGCCCTCCTCAGCCCTTCCTCCAGGCCTGGAACCCCACCCCTCCTGGGGCCACCCTCCTGGGGTTCCGAAATGCACGGGGCTGACCTCCCCATGCCCTCTGTGCACACGGCTCGTCTGTGATGCCAGCCTCCGTCACTAGGCCCTGGCGGCCCAGATGCTCGGGCTAAGCCTCACTGGTGTCCTAAAAGTCCCCAGGAGCCACCTCTGGTGTTCTAGGTCAGCTCTGGAAAACAGAAAGCCTTATGTGGTCCTAGCCACCCAACTACCAGCTGAATGGTTTGGGGTACGTTTCTCATTCTCTTTCCTCCCCTGAGAAATAGGACCAGTGTCTTCCCTGTCGACCTGACAAACAATTAGGGAAAAAATTAGAAAGATGCCTTACAGGGGTGCCTGGGTGGCTCAGTCAGTTGAGCGTCTGACTTCAGCTCAGGTCATGATCTCACAGTTCGTGGGTTCGAGCCCCGCATCGGGCTCTGTGCTGACGGCTCAGAGCCTGGAGCCTGCTTCGGATTCTGTGTCTCCTTCTCTCTCTGCCCCTCCCCCACTCATGCTTTGTCTCAGTCTGTTTCTCAAAAATAAATAAATGTAAAAAAAATTTTTTTTTCAAAAGAAAGATTCCTTACATGGAACCTGGCATCTCTATGAAGGCAGTGCTATGCCAAGCCTACCAGTGGCTCTCGTCTTGCTGCCCTCCCTCCGGGCAAAAGGCCAGCCTGGTCACTGCCACCAGCCTGCCCTCCCCAGGCCAGTGGAGTCTCTCAGTCAGAGAGCGCTCGGACCCACGAGACGTGGCTCCTCAACCCGGGGACAGCATCACTCACCGAAGGTTGGATCTGCTGCTTTGAGCTTTGACAGGCAGCCCTCAATGCCACCAAGACTTTTGTCATTGGTCCATTTGACATACTGAAATAGAAAAGGCAAAACAACGTTGTCCCCAGGGAGTCCTTAGTTCACGTTAAGGAAGGCATGTGTCTGAATCTGGATTTTCTCTCTAGACAACGAAGTATTTCATGACCTGAACTGCACCCGGGTTGGTCTCATGTGAAGAGCCTGAATACTCGTAACTCAAGGCACACTTTCTAGGGCGGGTGAGGCCCCCATATTCAGGAAAGAAGCATCTAAAGAAAGCTTCTTCCTGACAGGTGACCTGCCCCAAACATCAACTTCTTTAGCCATGAGAGGGGGCCTCAAAGTCGGGCGCCACAATTGGAACCTTCCTACTTTCCATTCATTCTTTTCCAAAAAGACCTTCAGGGGCGCCTGGGTGGCTCAGTCGGTTGAGCGTCCAACTTCAGCTCAGGTCGTGATCTCACGGTTCATGGGTTCAAGCCTCCCATCAGGCTCACTGCTATCAGCACAGAGCCCACTTCGAATGCTCTGTCCCTTCTCTCTGCCCCTCCTCACCCCTCTCTCTCTCTCAAAAATAAACAAAACAAAAAATGTGTCCTATCAAATGTCTGACCTGCATCTACACAGAATTAGCAGAGTATGCTTTAATAAGACACGGGGGAGTTGGAGCGGAGACCCCCACACTCGAACACAGGATGGCCCAGAAATGCTGATAATGGGACAGAAGATACACAGGCAGGGTCCGGGGAAGGACTGTGCTACACTGAGGAACGGGCTTTGTAACAAATCCAGGGCTCTACTGGGGCCAAAACGTGCAGGAAGGGCACAGCGTTCAAATGAGCACAGTGGAGTCCTTCGGCAAGCTCACAGCATCTCACTGGTTGTTTCTTGTACTTATGTTTCTAGAAGCTTCCTCGGTCCTTATGTTGTGTGGATGGAGTTCGTAGGCAGGGTTCTCACTGCTCATGATAAACCCGGCTCTAGTTTCCCATCGGTGTATACAGACCCAGGCCTACCCTGCTCATCGTCTGCCTCACTGCAGGAATCAGTGCAGCTCTCTGAGCCTCAGTTTCCCCACCGTCAAACAAAGTGGTTAGACCCTACCTCTTGAGACCCTCCTAGTTCTAAAACTGCAGGCTCCTTCACTGGTGTTAGAAATTACTGGTAATACGGTGGCGGGTCTTGGAGCAGCCATAGATGAGAGTGGTATATTCAAAAATTGGCCCCAGCCAGGGGCCGAAGCCCGAAGTGGAGGGGCCCCATATCAAACCCTCAGCAGACCATAGAGGGAGGCCTGGGGAGAGTCAGCATCCTGATAAACATTGCTGTCTGCCTGACCCTGGGGGCACCTCTCACCCACACCGTGGGTTGTCTCCAACACGTTCCCATGCACCAGGGTCCGGAGTACATAAACTGCGCTGTAACCCACTGCTAACATCATTACGCAATTGAAAACAGCATCCCCTACTTCCCAAGCTGTTGGCTGTGGGGCCTCTAAGCATTACGAAGCATGTTTGGGTCCCCCATTTGGGCCCTCCTGTACCCAAGTTTGCCAGGAGATTTGGGCAGGAATGGGGTGGAAGAGCTTCACTGTTTATAAAACAAGAGTGCTGATAAAGATGTGAAGCTTAGGAAGCCTTGAGTGCCACCCTTGCTCGTGGTCATCGTCAACCGGCTTTCCTGGGAGAGTACATCACACGACACGGGAGTCTGGCCGTAAATCTGAGCAAAGCCGTGCTGGATGGGGGTGCGGGGCATTGTCTTGCACTTGTGTAAGGACCGTTCATTGCGTGGTGTAAGTAAATGTAGCTGTTCGATGGGCCAGAACATTTAAAAATGAAAAATAAATCAGTTAAAAGCATTTGGTAATTTTAAACACCTCCCCACCGGCCGTTAGAGAGGCCGCCGCACTGCCCGGCAGGCATACCTGGGTCAAGGTGGCATCAAAGAGCTTGCAGGCCTCGTTACTCGTGGTTGACAGTGGGAGGCCCGCATCCTTCCACGCCTGCACACAACAAGAAGAGACTCTCAGGGCTTTATTCCATGTAGTCCTCCAGCCATAAATGTGAACCCCAACCCCCAAGCACAGAAGATCTCCAAATGCCTCGCGTCATGTGAGTGTGGGTTTCCATATGAGCCAGCCTTGTGGGGCTGGCAGGGACTCTCAGATTTCATAGACGGTGCAGAGCAGAGGAGGCCGAGTTGTGGGTGCGAGGGGGCAGATCCTGATGCAAACCCCAGGGGTCCCTAAATAGCTGTGTGCCTTCTGGCAACATCCTCTCTCAGACCCTTCGCTGGCCCCGAATGGGGCTCTGGAGGATGCACGGGGTGACTGTGAAGTGTCTGCCAGGGGAGCACTCAGGAAACGGGAGTCCCTGATCTGGCTGAGGGGAGGTCTAGGGGGACACAAAAGGGGTAGAGCCTTAGAGAGCTTGGCCGGGCAGGGTGGACTTTCCAACTGGCAGGCAAACACGGTATCTGCCAAGCACAGTAACAATACCTCTCCTCTCTCCACTTTATCAAATGATGCAGACCTACAAGTCTGTCAGCAGAAAGATCTAGAGATCGTTAGAACTGTTCACTGTTAGGGCTGCCCTTTGGATCCTGCCGGGGTGCACAGACCTCCGACCCCGCCCTGGGAAGGAAAATGTCCTCTACTCCCTGAGCACAGCGGGCAGCTCCTCAGGCTGCATGGCTGGGGGGCAAGTCCTCCGGCTCCTCTGAACTTCACCTTCCTCATCTGCAAAATGGGTTCAGGCTGCCCACCCTGGAGGGTCCGAAAGAGACACTCCTGCGCCACAATGGCTGGGGCTAATGCATTATAGGTCTCGGGGTCTCCGCGGGGTCCGAACCGCGCCGCTGGGGTCCCACAGGAGGGTACTCTGGTCCCTTCCTGCACCCAGGTGCTCGCCTGTCCCTCGGGGGCCGGTTCCCCGGAGGATCCAGGGTCCCGCGCAGGTCGGTCCCGTCCCCGCCGCCGAGCGCCAAGCCATGCCGGGGCCGCGGGGCCCGGCCGGGTTCAACCTCTGCGTACCTGGCAGTCGCGCAGCGGAGCGGTGGCGGCCATGGGGGCAAGTGGGTGGCCGGGCCGGTGATGTGGGTCCGGGCGACTCCGCACCTTCCGCGTCGGGGCGGGAGGGTGGGGCGGACACCGCGGGGCGGAGCTGCCGCGCTTCCCCGCGAGCTCACTGGTCCGCGGCACTGGCCCCGCCCCGCCCCGGGGGCGCTCCGAGGGGGTCCTCGCCTGCCGGAGGGGAGGAGCCGCTGCGGGAGCCTCGTCGGGCGCACTCGCCTCCCCCGCAGGGCAGCGGGGCAGCTCGGGATTCGCTCACCGTCCCAACTCCTGCCCCACTCCCGCCAGGGGGCTCCCGCCTGCAGGCGACCCTGTTGGGGCCGCCGCCGCGGAGTCCCTCGGGAGGCAGGGGGGCCCTAAGGCAGCGGTCACTTTCAAGCTCTTTGGAGTCCCCCGCGGAAGCCTGGCGCGCACACGTTTCTAGAGGTCATTTTTTGAACTGAAGCAAACCGTGCTCACAACTACAGTCTGTGGAAGAAAATGTGCTATATGATCCCCTTAGGTGACGTTTACCAACATGCAAAACAGTGCATTGCGGAGGGACTGGTTCCTGTGTAAACAGTCAAGAAACACGAGACAGCAGCAGAAACGAAATTCACATCAATGATGCCCTGGTGGTGCTGAGAATTCTCTCTTGCAGGGCACGCGGAGGCCTGGGACTGCACTTGGATCCTTCTATCTCCTTGGCTGGGATGTGGGCATACCAGTGCTCTTTATTTTTTATTTATCTTTGTAGATCTCAGATATACACTTCTCTGCTCTGCCATGCCGGCAAAACTTGTCCAGAGTTTTACGTGGTTGTTTGAACCACTGACACTGCACTTGTCTGGGACACTAAAGGCCCTCCGGGCCCAAACCCAGCCGCTGCCTCCGCCTCCGGTTCCTCATCATTTGGTCTGACACAGCCCCTTACTTGAACCACCTCCTCCACCCCACCCCCTTCCTATGGCTTCCAGGACACCACACCTGCCTGGTTTCCCGCCAGCCCCACTGAGGCTGCTTCTCTGGCGCCTTGTTGGCCTGACCTCTAAATACTGGGGGAGTCCAGAGTCTGCCTTCTCCATTTGTGCCTCCTCCCCTAACATGACCTCTGATGGCCCCAATCTGAGTTTTCAGCCCTCATCTTTCCTGTGGTCTTAGTCAGCTCAGGATGCTAAAACAAAATACCCTAGAGTGGGGGCTTGAGCGGTAAATATTTCTGGCAATACTGGAGCCGAAAGTCCAAGGTCTGGGGGCCAGCGTGTCAGGTACTTGGTCAGGGTCGTCTCTCTAGTTTGCAGATGGCTGCCTTCTTATGTCCTTTCCTTGGTGTGTGGTGCACTCAGAGAGAATGCAAGAGAGAGAGAGAGAGAGGATAAGAAAATAAAAGCCCTATTAAATGTTGCCTACAAAAGAACACTTTAATATAAAGACATAAATAAAGTGAAAGTAAGTGAATGAGAAAAAATACGCCATATAGACCGTAGGCATAAAAAGGCTAGTATGGTTATTTTACTTTCCAGTTTCACTGAGATACAATTAACATATAACTTGGCTATTTTAATATCACATAACTAGACTTCAAAACAAAGATTATTGCTAGAGATAAACACAGACATTTCACAATGATAAAAGGGCCAATGCATTAAGACATGACCTCAAAATGTGTATACATCTAATAGAGCCTCAAAATACATGAAGCAAAAATTGACAGAATTAAAAACAGACGATTCTCTAGTCATAATAGGAGAGATTAACATCCTCTCTCAGCAAGTGATAGAAAAGCTAGACAAAAACCCAGAGAGGACATGGAAGATGCAAGTGTCAGTACCAACCATCTTGATCTGGTTGACATTTATAGGACAACCCACCCAACAAAGGTGGGATAAGTGCACGTGGACAACACATCAAGGCAGACCACACTAGGTATGAGCTTTCAAACAAGTCTCAATAAATGCAAAGGGATCAAAATCACATAGAATGTGTTCTCTGACCACAACAGGCTTAAGTTAGAAATCAAAGCCCATAAAATTTCACAGAAACTCCAGATATCTGAAAAATAAACCACACATCTTTAATTTGTAGGTCAAAACCCAAACAGGGGAAAGTAGAAAAAAAATTAATTGAATGATAACGTTAATACCACAAACAGGCAGGATGCGGTTACGCAGCGTTTGGTGGGACACTTAACAACCTTAAATGCTTCTATTAGGAAAGAAGAAAGATCTACAATCAGTGACTTAGGGTTTCAACTTAAGAATGAACAGCAAAAAAGAGAAACCCTGGGTTTTCGGGGAGCTCACAGACCCCGTCTTGAAACTGGATATTCCCAGGGGAGTGGGATTCCCGCTAAGGGGCCTTTCAGGCTGTTGGGAACCTTGGCAGAGTTAATTCCATCACCGCTCCCCGATCGAGGCCTACACAGGTGTGGGAGGGGGCG